GAATTCCATTGCTTTGGACCAATAATAACACGTTCTTCATACAGTCCTTTGTAATTAACAAAGCCCTTTCCTTCAGGGCCTTGGGCTCTACTTTCAAAGGTGTTGGCCTTATTAAAGCACAGTAATCCCTGCTAAGGTGTGTTAATGGCCAGCAAGATGTTGACCTTTCATCGGGGACTCACTGTGTCTGTCCTCCTGTTTGTCCAGTACAGATGAGTCCGTAATGGTGAGAACAGAGTAGCTGTGGAGGCCCTCTCAAACCCGGCTCTGGAGGACTCCCCCTGTATGCGTGGGTTATAACCTTCGCGTTGCTGTAGGAAGGTAGTGCCATGTTCAAGCCAAATTTTTCTAGATTTTTCCTCATACACGAAGATCCTTGATGAAAAAGCTAAGATTGGTGGCAGGATTTCAAGGAATTTTTCTTTTTGCTTATGTTAGTTTTATAAAACATTGAATATGTAATAACTGAAAATTTTAAAGAAAGCAAAAGAGGGGTGTGAGGCCCAGGGTCTGGATGCCTCTGGAGTTGACAGTTCTTCCACAAGGACAGTTCCTATTTATGAGCACTCCTTCCTTCCTGTCCATAAGCTGGATCTCCATGGCCGAGAACATTCTCACAGCTATGGTTTCTTTAAAAGTAGAGCTTTTGCAGAAGACTTGTCAAATATTTTTTCGTTAACTATAAATTACATACAACTCTTTTCCCCTAACAGCAGCACCAATGTACATGTTAATTCCCTCTGAAAATGGTCAGGCATGATTACTCCTCAGAAAGGCCATGTTTCTGTCTCTCTCACTCCCCAAAGTTTCTATATTCCCAAATATTCTCAGTAGGAACTTTTCACTTTTTCAACTCACCCTGGATAAAAAAGATAGCAGATTCTATGGATGAACCCCCTTCAAACAACTCCTATGACAGCTGTGTGTTTCCAAAGGCTGAGCAGTCTAGAATCCTAGTTCCTGAAGGCCCTGTGGTTAATCTAAAGGCTGGGTGTTCCTTGTTTCAATTCAAATTTATTTTCTAGCTTGAATGCAAATACACATTTGCCATACTACCCTAACACCACTTACTAGTGCAGTCTATCTGTATGTTTTCTATCCTAGCATTATATCACTCAGAGAGTTCTAATATCCCAACGAGCTACCAGCCTGGAAATAAAGCAATTCAAATTCCCAGGAACAGTGGGCTGCCATATTACCATTGCTCTATTTCCCTGTGATACTTATTCATCAGAGATGATCTCTCATAATTTCGGAGGTCATTTCCTCCAGTTCTGTGTTCAAAAAGCACTATACCTAAAATGACCCAGGATGTGGCTGTCTACCATATTCTTATATTATGAGTGTGGAAAGATGACATGTTTGACAAATAATTACTTCCAGGATCTAATTTTTATGAATTTAGAAAGTTGTACTTGATCTAACCTGAATATTTTTTTTGCTGTGTTGCATGCCATTTTCTCAGGGTGGATCTGGTAACTGAAAAGAGTAAACTCTATGCACTGAGTACATATTATGTACCAGAAACCATACATCATGCTTTACAAACATTACCTTATTTTATTTTTAAAACAGCTCCGTGAGGTACGTATTACTGGCAGCCTTTTCCAGATGAGGAAGAAGAGGCCTAGAAGCATGAAGTAGCTTGCCCAGGTGACACAGTGAGACTTCTGGTTAAACGTGGCAGGTTGAATGCACTAGTTTACCACTACTCCTTCCTGAAATTCTGCTGAAACATCACATTCAAGAGATTTTTTTAATGGCTGTAAAACAACCGCAATAGAAGAGGACAGTAAACAATAGCAATAAAATCTGCAAAGCTGAAACGAGATGGACATGTGTCAATTTAACAGACCAGAGAATGGTATATTGTAGCAGACAGTGAAAGAAGCTTGAAGTATGAAGAATCCTCTGAAAATGGTACAGATGGGGCTAACTATAGGATTTGTCAAAAATTTGCACAGACCCTCTTTCATCCTAGCAGAAGACTAGACATTGGTTCCCTGGAGCTGCTGGCTTTGGGCAGTTGCACAGCTGAGGAGAGGGCACTACGCTACACTGGGGACTGAGCTACAATCTATATGCTGAATGGTGAGACCACCGGCCCTCCACCACCCTGCTCCAAGAGCACTGCCTGCTCCAAGAGCACTGGCAGCCAGGTTGATATCTTCCAGGCAGGAGGCTGTAGGATTCCTTTCTGGGGAAGATGACCGGCTCAGGACATAGAACTTAAAGATGCTGAGGGTTGAGAGTCCCCACTGGAAGTGCCTCATCAAAACAACAGGAGCTTGGGAAGAGACAGGCAGTCTAGCTAGCAGTAGGAAACAACCCTTGGGCAACAACACCAAGGTCCTGTGATCGGTTGATCACCACAGAATACATACTCAAGCACAGGAGTTTGTAATAAGGGAACATTCAGAAAGCAAATAATCCTTGGACTTCAAAGTTTAAGAACAGAAAGAAAAAGAGAAGATGAAGTTAAGGAAATCACCCAGAAAGTAGAACAATAACAACATACATGAGATGGAAAATAGACATAATAAAATTATAGGATCCTTCCAGACAGTCTAACATCTGAATAATAGGAGTTCCATAGGGATGGAGCAGAGATTATAGAGGGGAGAAAAGTGTCAAAGACATAATTTGAGAAATTTCCCCATATCTGAAAGACATGAATGTACAGACAGAAAAGGTCCACAGAGCACCAAGCACAATGCATGAATATAGATCCACACAAGGCATGTAATCGTGAAATTTCAGACCACCAGGGGCAAAGGGGAGACCCTATAATCTTCCAGGGGGAGGGAAGGGGATATTAGGAATGAGAATAGTGTCAGACTTCTTAAGAAAAACAAAATATAAACTAGAAAATCTGGACTAATGCCTTCAAAATTCGGAGAGAAAATTACTTCTCCATACCTAGAATTCTGTACATATCCAAAACACCAAGACAACTTCAGAAATGCCAGATCCTCAGAGGGCAGACAGCAGAAGCAAGAAGAACTACAATCCTGCAGCCTGTGGAACAAAAACCACATTCACAGAAAGGTAGACAAGGTAAAAAGGCAGAGGGCTATGTACCAGATGAAGGAACAAGATAAAACCCCAGAAAAACAACTAAATGAAGTGGAGATAGGCAACTGTCCAGACTAAGAATTCAGAATAATGATAGTGAACATGATCCAGCACCTCGGAAAAAGAATGGAGGCAAAGATCAAGAAGATGCAAGAAATGTTTAACAAAGACCTAGAAGAATTAAAGAACAAACAAACAGAGGTGAACAATACAATAACTGAAATGAAAACTACACTAGAAGGAATCAATAGCAGAATAACTGAGGCAGAAGAACGGATAAGTGACCTGGAAGACAGAATGGTGGAACTCACTGGCATGGAACAGAATAAAGAAAAAAGAATGAAAAGAAATGAAGACAGCCTAAGAGACCTCTGGGACA